TGATATCTTTCACAGAAAATGAGATATATAGGCTCAAAGTGGACGATCCGGGTGTCGTTCTATTAGAGGTTTTACGGTATATATACCCTTGTTAACAAAAACCACTTTTTGTAGATTCTCTGGACTGGACTGTCACAAACTACGAAAAGAAAGTATACGATCAGTGAAAGGGATTATGTCAGCTGTCATTGCAGTTATCATTTTAATTATAATGGTTGTCCAAGTGTTCACATATATGCGAATTGAGGATAAAGTAAGTTTTATTCAATGATTTTTTTTATAATGCATTGTATTTTTAGCCATTCACAGTCGGCTGGGCTGAATCTACAGTATATGCTTTCATGGCTCTGCAAGCATTGATAAGTGCGATTGCAGTGATCTGTTGGACTCGTGAAAACTTTGTTTCACAATTCGAAGATACACTTTCCCGATTACGAACGATGCGATTATCGACAAGTCAGAGTATTGATGACTACACGAATTTCCATCGAAAAGCTGCTGTCATGATTGTTCCTATTTTTGCAGTTATTCTCAGCACTTCATTTTATTCATCAGTGACAAATAGATATCAATTGAATGATAGCAGGTGAGTTATTTTTACAATACAGTTTTTGATTTTTCAAATCTTTTCCAGCACATTTTATTCTGAATCTATCGTACATCAGTTTTCTCCATTTATCGACTTCGTTGGTTGTCTGGCTTCTTCTCTTGCCATTGTGATTTATGTAACTGTGAACACCGCTTTGAATCGAGAAATCAAACATTTCAACAAAGAACTCACCAACTCTGCTAGATTCCAACAATTGACGGTCAGTGAAATTAAATTCTTAAAAGGAAAGGAAGTTTTGGAATTTCAGCTTCCGCAAGTATTGAACAACTACAGTAAACGTCATTCTGATCTGATTCAACTGACAAGATTTGTAAATCAACACTTGAGCAAATACGGAGGAATCGTTCCATTTTTCTCATTGACTGCGTTTGTGAATGTTGCTTATATTGTTGGAAGTTTCAAGGAGTCATTGGATCCAGTTATGTACGTTTTTCTAAATGGATATATGTTCATTTCTATGGGAATCACAATTGCTGGACTATCTCCATTGGTGAAAGTTCAGAATAATGTAAGTTCTTTGCCTTGTTTTTGTTTCGTTCAAAAAATCTTTCTAGGTCACGACTCAATTAAAACTAGGTCATGGCCTAATTAAAACTAGGTCATGGCCCTATTTTTATAGGTCATGACCTAACTTTTTCTAGGTCATGACCTAATTTTTCTAGGTCACTTTTTCTAGGTCATGACCTAATTTTTTCTAGGTCACTTTTTCTATGTCATGACCTACTTTTTCTAGGTCACGACCTAATTTTCTCTAGGTCATGACCTAATTTTTTCTAGGTCATGACCTAATTTTTCTAGGTCCCTTTCTCTAGGTCATGACCTAATTTTTCTAGGTCATGACCTAATTTTTTCTAGGTCATGACCAAACTTTTCTAGGAAATTAATTTTTATTGCTAGAATTCAATTTTTTAGTGAGTCTGACAAAAAATCTCAAAAGTCATACTTTCCCCGATTTTAGTGGCTCGCCAATAGTTGTTCAGCCGCCACTTCGCCACAGCCGCCACCTTCTTTAGCCGCCACTCGCCCGTTTTGCCACATCTGCAGCAGCGCAGACTCTCCTAGCTCGCTATTGAGACTCGCTGCTTTACCTGTGACCGCTAATCGCTCATAAATTTTTCAGATTCAGGAAACCGCCGAAATCCTAATGCATGATGACGTATTACAAACTTGTGGAGATGACCAGGTAACAGATCTATATGTTTGTATAGCCAAAATTCCAACTTCCAGATGCATCATACCTATCGAGTGACCTTGGATCGATGTCTGCATAGTAATTCGAAGCTAGCATTTTTGAATGCATTCCCTGTTGACTCGAATTGTTTCAATCGAATCATTTTCTTTGTTCCTAATATTTCAGCCGCCATGATCCTCTACAGATTATCTCATCCGAACTTGTAACGCTTTTTTGATTAGTACCCGTTTCGTATTTATTTTTTGAAAACGAAAACCTAAAAATTCCATTCTGGTATGAAGAATTGGAAAAAAAAATAAAACGAATAAAATCTGAATCGTATTGTATTCTTTTCATGTTTCAATGTTTCACACTCTCGCGTTTTTCGAAATCTAGTTTAGTACAATATTTCCGGGTGAATGATCCCCAAATCCCATCGAAAACAACATCAACAAAATTTGATACTTTTTTTCGGTTTTCATTTTGTATTTGAATATTCAAAATGCAGTACTATTTTCTTCTTCTTTTCCTATTTTCCATCGTTTCTCTTCCATTTTCTACTTCCCAATTAACTCCAAAAGTGATCGAAATGAGTGGAGACGCCGGCAGTGTTGCCAATTTACTTCAACAAATAATGGAGGCAAGCCAGAGACAAAACATTAATCAGCATTTTCGAGGTATTTAATTCTTCTCATCTTTTCCCATTTCTTCTTACTCTTTGTTTCTTGCAGTTCGAACTGTCAACGGGAGCATTATCATGGAATCTGATGATTATAAACCTGGAGCACTTGAACATTTGAATTGATTCTGATAAAAACTGTACAATTTGTTTATTCCACAAGAATCATTAGACAAAGAAAAGAAACGTTTTTTAATACAATTACATGTAATGCTTTTGAAGGAATCTTCTATGATTTGCAGCTGGACTCTGATCTTCTTCCTCTTCTGTTTGGTTTGGACCAACTGAAGAATTCAGCCATTTGCTGTCATCAGAGTTTTGAAGTTTATTAATGACGTCGAGAAACTTGTAAGACTGGGATGAACTGGAAAATACGAGAGTGAATAATAGCTTATCCGAAATTGATATGATCAATTTACCATTCTGGTTCCATGTCCTCATCATCTCCATTCAATTCATCTAGATCATCATCATCATCGTCGGCATCAGAACGGAAACTCTTTGGAACTGGAGCACGTGGCAAGTGTGTAGAAGTAGATTCTTCATCCGATTTGAGAAGCCACTTATCCGAAGGTTCGCTATGAATTGTATCCATTCTCTCACGGAAAGCTCTATCTGCATTGGCCTTGTATTTCAAGCAAAGAGCAACCTCATTAAGCAACTCGAAAGAGCTGACCGCACTTTCAGAGCTCTCACTTTTTGTTTCTTCACTAACAAACGAAGCAAGATCGAAATTCAAGGCAGCGTTTCCGTTTGGAAGGCGACTAAGCCAGTTCTTTACAGTATCCACTTCATGTGGAGTGTCCGGAGAGGTATCAGTCTTGCTCTTCTTGCTCAAAAGCCACATGCTGTCGTCATCATACGCTTCCATATCAAGAGGCAAAGTACGTCCGACCTTCATCACTGGAAGTCGCTGGCAGTTTTGTGATACTCTGATTTCTCCCAATTTCGTGATTCTCTCATGCATTGCTCTAATTTCTGAGATTGGAAGATCCAATTCAAGACGTACATCATCGTCAACATTGAGAGTGGAATTACGAGCAGGGAGCCCAAGATTGCAGGCAGCTGAAAATAAGCCAATAAAGGATACGCATTGAGAGAAAACAAAGTCACTTACAAAGCTCTTCGGCTACAATATCCAATTGGTTTACAAGTCTTCCTTCTTTTTCGTAGAATGCTCTATCCAAATCACCAATCAACGCTCTTTCACGCTCTCGAAGAGAGACGATCATAGCAGCGACTGCTTGGCGAATATCCTGTTGGGCTTTGTAGCGATTGAGTCTCAAATTGTTCTTCACTTCATTCAGTTTGACACTTTGAACTTCAAGAAGTTTGATAACTTGCTCGGTTTGAGGGGCTGGCATCGTTCAAGACGGTTAATATCTGAAAAAAAATACATGAAAAATTAGACATTAGAACAAGGTAAGAACTGCGTAATTAGAAAAATGAAAGTGCGAGAAATTACTAGGTAAAACGAGTTTAAGTTGGCAGGCGGTGGCGCCATGAATGGAGAAGGTGATAGGGCGGCGCTTTGTTGTATCTGTTACACCTTTGTGTTGAAAAAAGAGAATGAAAAGAAGAACTTATGGTCGTCATATCAGTCATATCACTTGTTAGATAACGAATACACATATGAGATTGGAGACAAAGTACGAACTCAAAACTTTTTAGTTGAATCCATAAGGTAAGGTCGAAACCTGTGCATCATAAGTTTTGATTAAACGCACGAGAGCCGATATTGGTTGGAGGGCGCATACATTGAAGTGAAAGCAAAGGAATGCGAAATGAGAAGAAAAAAGGAGGAGAAGAAGAGGAAAAGAAGAAAAAGAGATAGCTCCGCCTACTTTGCATACGTTGTTTTCCGCTCTTTGTTGTTTTTTTCCGGAATTATATAGTTGACCAGACGTCTGGAGCCGATAAAACAACGAAGAAAACAACACACAACATCAACTGTTGATTGAAAACAAATTGAAAGAAATGCTCGACTCCAAAACAGGAGTCTGGTGTTAAATCAGAAATTTGTGCATACTGTTCGAAAGAAATGCCTTCTACTAATGTGACGATTATTTATAAAAAGTACATTTTCCACTGTGGAAGATCATGACCTGATTATTCGAAACGACTGGAAAGAATAACATGTGAAGAATTGGTTTATGAGTTAGGATCTTCATGATAAGAATAACAGGTTTTGAAGAGGAGAAATGTAGTGACAGGTTCAAAAGTCACATTTACAGAAAAGTGAAGGTAATAAATTTCATACTGCTGTTAGATGAAGACAATTTATAATTTTTTTGAAGATTTATTGCCTTCAAGGGACACGAATTGATTGTGAAGAAAGTTCGGTTTTGGGATATGTTGTGAAAAAAAAATAATATTTGGTAGACTGTTAACTAGCCTGCCTACAGTATCCCTTACAATGTTTTATGATCAGTAGATTTTTTACAGAGCCCCCAAAATTCGACCCAATTAAAATAGCTGACTACTTTACATATTGTTCGAGAAACTGCTTTCTGACAGTCTTGTGACATTATAAATTTCTACGACGGAGTGATAATAACTCGGAGAACAAAGAGACTAATTTCGAATAAAACAAAATTTTGAAGAAAGCAAATGAGAACGAAAGAGAAACAAATTGATAATTTGGCTCACTAACTCAAGCTTTTATATGATCTGGTTCAGGTTCTTATAGCTATTTCTTCCGCCGGAAAGGCAACATAATAATGGACAGTGTGACCAGTCAGTATGTTGTATGAAAAGAGTTTAGAGAAAATATGTTTATTTAATAAGGAAAGGAAGCATGTGGAGGAAGTCGATAAGGTTATTATAAGACAAGCTCTGGTCTCTATAAAAGGGTAAACGGGACGCTGGAAAAGGGATGCAATGAAATGACGGGAGAAGGTTATATGATATATCATAACTTATATCATTGTATTATAACAGTTCAGTATGTAATTTGAAAGAAATGGTATTGAACTAAATATGTATGGACAGGAAAATAGAAGTGATAGGTGCACAGCACCGAAATCTTTTTTAATGTGAAAAGACTAATTAATTTAAACATGGGGGAGAACAAGTCCTGCAACAAGTGTCACAAGTGGGTTCGGGAAGCTAACAGATGGATGATCACCCTCACAGCCGCCCATATCAATGTGTGTATATTTCAATGGATGAGAACTGTCAGTACCATGTTCGTCAATTCGGCTGGCCTGAAATGAAATAGTTTTGGAAATGTATTGAATAATTGATATTTCAAAAAAAAACCTACCATTTGGAGGAATGCAGCTGGTGTCTGGTGTCCTCGAAGTGTAGCAACGGATGGCTTCGTGTTTCCTTGTCGAAGATCCGCTTGTTCGCACTCGGCCAAATGGAAAGCGAAATCTTCTGGATGAAGTCTGCTGATCTCGATTGGTTGTCCAAATTCATCTCCGACTTCTTGCACTTTCCTAGCCCATCCACTTGCCTTGGCTGGACCGTTATCCATAATAGCAGCATAGTATCCGTAAGAGAGTACCTCGTGTCCGGTTAATGTGGCGACAGTGAACAAATGTGGATTTTTCGCTTTCAGGGCTTCTTCCTTGGCAAGAGTGAGAGGGTCGAGCATGGTAAGTCTTCCTTCGGCATCGGTGTTGTAAATGTGAATTCTCTTTCCACTTCTGGAAGTGATCACCTCATCACAAGTGTATGCACGAGATCCAATACTGTTTCGCACCATGCACATGTATCCTACGGCTTTAATGTTCTTTGGTTTTAAAACATCGATTGCTTTGAAGAAACCACCGACAACTGCTGATCCATACTTGTCACGGCACATTCCGAACATGTGTCCACCGGTCTTCAAGTCGCAACCTCCGGTGTCAATGGTGACTCCCTTTCCGACAACGAAGAAAGTGTCTTGAGTTTCTCCCTCTCCAACATATTCGAGACGGATCAGACGAGCTTGATGCTCCTTAACAGCGTTGGCAGCTCTATTTACAGCAGCCATCAGTGGGAAATCTTTCAGAATCACACTTTGATCATCAACAACGGTGACTTTGATGTTTCCATTAGCGAACGCTCCTTGAACGTATTCAGCCACACGCGGTGGGGCCATTCTCTCTGGTCCAGTCTCTCCAACGTCACGGCAAACAGTGAAGGATGCATCGTAAGCTGCGACAAGCTTCTCGAGCTGGGAAGAAGTATCGCTTTCTCCGACCTGGAAGACAGCAGGCAATGTTAAGAACTGTTTCAAAACAATGGAATGTAGCTCAACCAATTTAAACTTACGGCCAAGAGTCCAAGTTGATGCAACTTCTGCTTGTTTTCCTCCTCGCGCACATTGAGTGGGGTATAAACTGGTGTGAGAGCTCCGAGAGCAGCAACAAGCTCCGCATTCGGGAAACGAGAATTTGGGAGAGTAACCAAGAGAGGAGATTTGACTCCAGCCGAGAGGGCTCTGCAATATCCATTCGTTCAGATTTTCATGCGATTTTTCCATTACTAGTTTTTTCTCCGTACTAGTAGAACGACGATCTGAACAACGTCTAGACCGTCGTTCTACACCTCACTTCTGTTGCTCTTCCACGGAAATGACGCAAACCGCCTCCACAACAAGAACTGCTGATCTATGCTTTCCCACACATTTTCTGATAAGTGTCTCTTTGCTACGTCTTTTTATTCTTATCGACCATTTTCTAGAGTAATCGGAGCATTAATAATTCTTTACTACAATAAATGAAATCATCTAATCTAATTGTTCTTTTGTTTGCTGACGACGTTAAGCTGGCGCCTTCCTTTTTCAGACATTGAAATAATTTCAGTTACGGCTATGCTCTTCACATAACGCAACTATTCTTCAAAAAATGTTTTAAATCCTTTCAGGACAACTCACAGTTCGATTCCTTTGCGAGCAGCAGCTTGATATCTTCGGACGTCATCATAGTCTCGGGACACGTGTCCTGTTCCAGCGAGGATTAATCGTCCAGACGGAACGACCGACGAGTCGACTTGTACGAGCGAAGTCGAATGAAACGCACCATTATGGAGCTGAAAGGACGATTACGGTATTAAAGAGAAGATTATGGGAAAGGCATTTACAAACCTTGAGGAACTTGTCAACGACCGGTGCGATCGCAGAGACTTGCTTGATTGCTCCAAACTGGGTGACACTTTCTTGACTTCCAACGAGGACAACAGCATCGAAAGCGGCATCGGCAATTGATGCCGCACGGACTATTTTAGTTGAAAGCAGCGACGTGAAGGACATTTGACAGAAAAGGACCCAACTGAAGGAAAAAATATGCAAAATGATGAGAATATATATCGAGAATAGGCAAGAAGAAAAATGAGAAGAAGAGTGCAAATTGAATCAGAAGGTGTAACTTGCGAAGAAATTGAAAGAAAAATAGAGTTCAGTTATGTTTATCTAGAAGAAAAGCAGTAAATGAGAAACAACGTGCATCTTGAATGAAACCTTATCAGTGTCATCTGTTGAAACAGGGAAGCGACAAGTGAGGGACGCATCGCGATGTCAGTATCTCAACAGCTACTCAGCTGGCTGACAGTCAAGCTGATAAGTCAGACCGTCAAGTCGGCTGGCTGTTAATTTGATAAATAATTTATAGCATTGGCTGCATGTTTGTTCAAGCAGGGAGAGCACTGGAAACATATCGTCAGACAACGAAAATTTCAGTATGGCAGTGACTATAAACGATAGAGGAAAGGGGCGGAGATTCAAAGAAAATGAAATTGACGTAGGTTTTCACCTCGTGGCGCCGAATTTCGAGACTTTTCTGGAGGAAGGAAGAAAAATTGTGACTTGAGCCATGTTTGAGGCAAATTTTTCTAGACATTGCCTAATGAAATAGAGTTTATATGTGGAAGATGCAACATTCGGAACGCTTATATCAACTTGAGTATTTTTCGCAGCCAGCATCATTGACCGAACAACTAATCGATTCTCGGCACTCGTTTATAAATCTCGAAAGTCTTGGTTGGGTGGGGGTTTTCGGCTGGTCTATTGATAAACAGACCAGTTTATAAACATTGCGAGACTGGTTGACGCACTGACCAAATTTAACATGAGAGCGAGAAAAATTCCATGAATTTTTGGTCGATAGTGAGCTAATAAAAAATAGCGGAGGCGAAATTCAGAAAGAAGAATGGGCTGGTGGTGGGTTTTGCATCACTGACATACACGAGGCTGCTACAATTATGGGGTTGAACCTGGCATTTTGTTTCAGGCCGGAGGCGATTAAAGCCGTCGTTTTTCAGAGAAATGTGTTATCAGGTATAACATACACTCACACTTACACATTGGGCCGTGCAGAAGTTGATTTGCGAGCCCAGAATGTTGTCATTATCGTCGTTGTCATCACGGAATTCCTTTGCTTTATCACACCTCTGAGAGTGCACTATTCTGTGACTGGCATTCCAGAAGCTTTGCGATGATCAAACGATCAAACTTACCTGAAGCAAAAAGCAAAGCGAAAAGCAATAAGTAAAAAGCAAAAAAAAAGAAAAAGTCGCCGATGTTTGTTGGGTTACTGTATTTGTTGAAGGCGCATCCTACTAATGCCTTCTCAGGCACTACAGCGAAAAACAAAACACGGTATTTAAAATAAAAATTCGACAGATTTGGTGACAAATTTCCAATCCACCATCGAATTTCTCAATTTTCACACCTTTTCATAAACTTAATTTGAAGTATTCAGAAGCGAAAATATACATACGGATTTTTATGTATTTCTTATAATACTTTAAATAGATTATTACCGGCTGAAACACTGTAATAATTTAGCTTTCTTTCAAAAAGAGAAAAATTTTAAAGACAATTGACTCAAGAACAAAATTATAAAAAATGAATGCGTTCGTTTCCTATGAAACGTTGTATAACTTGAGAGACGCAGAGACATCGCCACCAGTGTGTCAGTAGTCACTCTTTTGCCCCACTCTTGCGAACTGCTGCCCCCGATTTCCACGTAACCCTCGACCGGTTTTCAGAAACTTTTCATCGCTCAGCTATCACTAATCTCTTAAATTTTCAGGGATGGCGTCCGTGCTTTCATCCTTCTTTCAGAGAGATCCGAAATCTCAGTTTCCCTATGACATTCCGACAGAAGAACAACATTTTTTCGATAGAGTTTCAATCGGAAACAGTTTTAAAAAAGTGAGTTTTTTTCCGAATGCACTTTTCCAAATCACCAAAAAAGGTAAATACAGGCTGAACCTGGAGAACTTGCAACAATATTCTGGGACAATCGGAGTTCTACATTAAAACAGCAAGCTCAGAAGTTGAAGACCATGCGCCACCCCAATATTATAACCTATCTAGATAGTATTGAAGTAAGTATATTTGGATTTGAACACTCGCAAGGATGAATTTTTCAGCTCGAAGGAACTTTTTACCTCGTCACTGAAAAGTGTAAACCATTAGAGCTCTATTTGAAAGAAGCGGGTCTTACCGAAAGCCAGCAAGAGTTCGTCGTTTCATGGGGAATGTTTCAGTTACTGGTAAGTTTTTATGTTCTTTTTCTATAACAATAGTTCTGTTCAGAACGCATTGAAATTCATGCACGAGGCAAAACTGAGTCATGAAAATATTAGAAAGGGGGTTTTCGTCACTGCCGGAGGTGACTGGAAGATTGGAGGACTCCATTTGGTTACCGGTTTCACAAGTCCTCAAACTGATCTTAATCAATTGGCTATTGTACTTTGGGAAGTTTTTAATGGATTCAACGAAGCCATCACAAGACCACAAGCCCCTGGAAAGATTCCACAACGGATACATGAATTGTACAAAAAAATTGGAGCACAATCAGCCTCGCGATTAACTGTTTCTGATATTATTAAAGGTACGAGTAAATCTTTTGAGAGAAATTGTCAGAAAAAAATGTTTTCAGAATATCGCCTCACAGGAGGATATTTGAAAAACAAATTCGTCGATACTCTTTTGTTCCTGGAAGAATTCGAATTGAAAGAAGCGAGTGAAAAACAATCGTTCTTCATGCATCTTCGAGAAAATATCGATATTTTCCCTGAAGACGTGGCGAAGTACAAGATTCTTCCGAAATTGATTCTGACGTATGAATACGGAGATGCTGGACCGAACATTCTGATTCCACTCTTCAAATTGGGACGTCTTCTAGATGAAGCCGAATATCAAAGAACCATTGTTCCGTGTTTATGCAAGTTGTTCGGAAGTCCCGATAGAACGACCAGAGTTAAATTGCTCGAAAGAATCGACGAATTTGCTCCGCATCTGACTCAACAAGTGGTGAACGATAAAATCTTTGCGTAAGTATCCTTTGTCTTTTTTATTTTTAACCCTCCATGGAAGATCTTTTTCAGGAATCTTACGTCAGGTTTCTTGGATACCAACCCAGCAGTTCGTGAAAGCACGGTGAAGGCAATGGTTTCTCTTGCGGAGAAGTTAAATTACAACAATTTGAATATAGAATTGATGAAATATCTTGCCCGATTACAAGGAGGAGATGAGCACGGCGGAATCAGAACGAACACTACAATTTGTCTAGGAAAAATTGGACATCTTTTGGCACCAGCGAAACGACAAGGAATTCTGATCAGTGCTTTTACCAGAGCATTGAAAGATCCATTCGCACCATCTCGAATGGCTTCTGTTCTTGCTCTTTCCGCAACACAACACTTTTATCCGATTGCGGAAATTGCGAACCGCATTGTTCCATCTTTGATCCCTCTGACATGTGATCCTGAGAAGCAAGTGAGAGATCAAGCATTTAAAGCGGTTCGTGGATTCCTTGAGAAGCTTGAAAAAGCATCAGAAAATCCAGCGTGTATTCCTGAACTGGAGGCTGGAGTTAAAGCAGGAGCAAGCTCCATTCTGGATCATGAGAAAGTACCACAATGGGCTAGTTGGGCATTGAAATCGTTATCTGGCAAGTTTTACAAAGGAACTCCACCTCCAGAAGTTAAACCAGGAACTTCTGGAGCACCGGGAGCCCAGCCGGCTGCTGGGGCTGCTTCTTCAAGACCAGTTACTCCGAATTCATTGGCCGAGAAAGGTATTTCCACATGTCAATATATTTCATACTTGCAAAATCAGAGCCCGGGTTCTCCAAATTTGAAAAAAATGTTAAAATTTCAGAAATTTTTTCAAATTTTTTTAAAAAGAACTATTTTTGGACATTCTTATCTTGAAAAAAACATTTTCTTGTCAGAAAAATCGTCCATTTTTTTTCTGTTGACCGCAAAAAAATTTTTTGAAAGAGAAAAAATTGTTTCCGAAAATCCGGGCCGGGCCCTGAAAATTCTGAAAAAAGCCAAGCCCGGTCCGTTGCAAGTATGATATATTTTGACCTTCAAAACAATTCGTTTAAGAGAAAAATGCTGTCAACAAACCAGTTCCAACGAAGCCTGCGACGAATGATGGTTGGGGAGATTTGAACGACGGTGGAGATATGTTCGCAGTAAAAGATTCAAGCAATTCAATTACTGATGATTGGGCAGATATTAATCCAAAATCAAATGATGTTGATGATTGGGGCGTAGGATGGGATACTCCGGTAACGTTTTATATTTTTGATTTGAGTAAAATTTGAAAATTTGAAGATTGCAACTGCTTCATCTTCACCGATTCCTGGAGTCAAAAAGTCTTCATCAGGAAATTTGGCTGTTAAGAAGCCAACCATCGGACGATTGAATTTGCCAAGCTCTGCATCAGCTCAAAATAAAACGAAGAAAGCCATTGACGATAATATCGATGCCCTTCTTGGAATAGCGGCACCTCCACCGGCTTCTTCAGCTGTCAAACCGAATTCCCTGAATTCTCTGATGAACAGCTCATTGTCTTCAACAACTAATACAAATAACTCTGGTATGTCATTAATTTGTTCAACTATCTTTTGTATTGGTATGTTTGAGGTTGGGGTTTTGATGATCCACTGCCCACAAAAAACACATCATCCGCTAATCAAGGATGGGATGATGATGGTTGGGGAAGCAACAGTATGACGACCAATGTGCTTCAGCCGACCCCTGTCCTTCAGCCTACAAAAGTGAAGGATGATAAAGGTGAAACTAGATTCTCGGTTTAAAAGTCATCTTTTTTTTTCAGAAGCTCGTCGAGCTGAAATGCAAGCAAGAAACGAAGCCCGCCGTAAGGAGCAAATGGAGCGCAAGAAGTCTTCTGGTGCAATGAAATTGGCTTCAGTCGAGAAGAAAATGGATGATTTTGCTGATTGGTGAAAAGTCACCGAAGTTCATATAAATTATGTCAATAGAATACTTGTACTTTGTTTTTTTTCCTGTAACAACACCGCTTTCAATTAGTTCTCGTCAAGTACATCTTCCAAAAACGCACCTGTGATTATTCATTTCTAACGTATTCTATTCATGTTTTTTTTCGCTTTTTTTCCATTTCATCCGTTCCCAACCATACATATTCTTACCCGCATTTTACTTTCTTTTCTTTCCGCTTCGCTGAATAATTTAGAAAACAAAAAAATTCTTCTGGTTATTTAGATAATGATGAAAATAAATTGACCCAATTCTTCGTTTACTATATAAAAGGGAATAAGTTAGGGTTAAAAGAGTAAACATGCGCATTTTACTAGTTCTCTCCGTTTTCATTGGGTTCGCATCGTCCAGACTGATGTGTGGAATCGAGCCAATCACTACAAATTGGATGGAGATTCAGATCAAATTGGATTGTCCAGCTATTCTAGGTTAGCTTTTGTTTCTGAATCCCATTTGTGGAATCTGGAAGTTTCAGAGCATCATCGAAAGTGTTGTCTTGCTCATGGATGGTGCTATGTGTATAAGAAAGTATCGATGGAAGCATGCAATAATGAGTACTGCAGATGTGTGGATGCGTTGGCAAAAGAAGGAACTTGCAAGGTAATGGCTCATCTGATTCTTCTAGGACTTTTATGCTATTTCCAGATGCATTCTGACAACTTCTGCATGAACGTCAAAAATCTGGGACCAATGTTGTGGCCGACTATCAACGAAAATGGAATGCAGTTCTAATCCTAATTTGAATCGTTTATAAATATTGTTAATTGATGTGATTTTGAATGGATAAATTATGTATTATTTCGGTAGGGGCGTAACCGTCTAATATATCTCCCAGACGTGCTTGTGTGATAGCACAGAGGGATCAGACTCATGTCCACATCATTCAATCACTAACAAAGTTCACACGAAGCTACAACATCACCATTGACACTCTACAGTAACAACTTCCCCATCAGACGTGCCAAGAAATCTGCGTCTCCCACCATCACGTGCTCTCTCGCACCCACAGAAGGAGCGCTCCATCGCACAATGTTCTACAGGATCAGCGCCAAGGAGGAACACCAACCGCCAAGCAGGAGCAGACACACTCTCTCATAACTCTATGCTCTCTCCCCTCCTTGTCTCTGCGTCTCTAACTTTCGCTATCACTGATCTATTGTCATCATATCCCAATCAGTCGTCCCTTCTGCATTCGTGTAGAGAGGTTGCTCCTTCCTTCGATCCCTTCTTGTCACCCTATTCACTAACTTCTACTGTATTCCTCTGGGACCTCTATTGCCCAGCGAGTGTCAATAAACACGTTGTGAACCAATCCACTGTTAACTACCATCTCACGGAAGGAGCCAAGGGTTGCATAGTAGTCACGGTACGCTAGGAGTGTGGGCTCATCACCCCTCAATCCCTAACCGCGACACACAACGACAACTACCGTAACCTAAAATTTCTTTTTCCGAATTATTCTGAGAAACTTTAGAGAACTTCCAGTTCACGACTAGTAAGACTGAATGTGATTAGAGGGTTGAAAGTTACATAGGACGACTAGAAGAACTGCGAAGACTAGACTGCTTTGAGAGGTTGACCTGAAATGTAGCGAAAAGACAACTAAGGATTTAGATTACATTTTTATTAAATTGGAGAAAGCGTACAGGGTGTTTCCGCCGCGTTAAAACTCCTGATTATACTGCATGGGACCGGGACACCTTGTACATACAGGGGAGTAAGAAAAGGGATTTCTGCATCATGAAAACTTAAGAAAAATTGGGGTTTTCCAGTTCTGCGATACGCGAGTCCTCTGCGTAGACGACGGACTCGTGTGGAGCTTTCCAAGGCGGTTCAGTTCTGCGAAGAAAAAACCTGCAATAATCTGCGGGGGACAAAAACTGCGCATACAAGCCTGTTTCTAGACAGAACTTGTATTAATTCATAGAAAACGAGCAAAGTTATGAATATGCTGAGGGAAATTAAATTACAATTGGCAAGGCCTAAAATTATCAAGCGCGCTCCTTTGGACACCGATGAGAGAGCGTGGCGACTGAAGAGACGGGTAGAGAAGCGACGCGTCGGCGGGAAATACGAAAACAAGAAGTTGAGCCTGATGGGAGAATCTGTAATTAAAATATAAAACAAGATAATGGAAAATTGGGAAAAGTAAAATGCAGTTCTGCGAGGAAAAAAAATCTGAATATAGATTTGAAAATGTCTCATTCTCAGCTTTCGAATGATATAGGTATCTTATCGAATTCCTATACCCCAGTTACAACCTTCCCTAGTTAGTTCTGCTGATTTATGTATTGTCTCCTGCCGTTTTAGACGTGTTACTCAGTCTGTTTCACACTGCTTTTGCGAGAAGGATTCCACCCGACTTGTGGAAGCGTAATTTTCACAACATCGTCCACAGTTCCAATTTTTTGTACTATTATGCTTGTCTGAGAAAAAAAAGGTTGAGACGCAGAGAAAATGTGTCTGCGTCTCCACCGTTTGTGTGCTATTTAGGCTCTCCGCTTCGATATCGCTACCGTATTCAGACTGCAAAAAATACTCTCTAACCTTTTTTTCTCAGACAAGCATAATAGCAAAGTTGTTATAATTTATTTCGAACCAATAAAGTATGTCATAAACTGTGTTACCCGGTAACACTAATGAGAAACATGAGAATCCTGTTAAACTGAAAAAACTACTATTTCAGCTTTTTTCACTATTTCAGAAGAGAAACATGGTACGCCGGAGGCTTGATGACTTGTGAGTTCTTATTCTTAGGCAACTTTACTGAAATCTAAATTACAGCAAACAGATTCTTGAACAGGAGTGTCTGGATACAACAAGTAAGATCTAGGAACAGTTAGAAATGATACTATACCATTTTTTCAGTTGATAAGTGCAATCAAGCTTTTGAAAAATTTCTTTCAACATGTATTAAAGGAAAATTTGAGTGTCAGAAAGAAGCAGAAAAAGGAAAAGAGCAATTTTGCCAGGAGCATTCATACTGTAAAACTGGTCAAACACCTTTATAAGACTTTACATAACTTTTAGCGGATTACTGTATCTCCTCAACTGCCTCTCCTACTACTCCGAATTCTACAACTATCAGCACCACGACTACAACATCGTTTCCAACGACTTCTCTGACTGAAACAACCGCCGAAGAGTCATTCGTTTTGACCCCCATTCATTATATAATTGGTGCTGGAATCGGAGGGTTTTTGATTCTTGGTTTGGTGCTTCTTGTGAAATGGATTCTTGACAAAAAGAAACCAGCAAAGAAACAGAAGAAGACAAAAAAGAAGCATCCAGAATTTACAATAGAGTCCCCATCTAACAACTTTACCAGAAGCAGAACTTGGTGATTTATGATAATATTTATTCGGATTAATAACTTTTTACTTTTAAATAAAATAAAATTGAAGATTGGAAATTAAAATTCAATTCAATTCAATTCCATCCTCCATGATTTCCCCACTGATTCTGTTGATAATTTGGGTTATATGGGTTCTCGCTATATCCTGAATGATGTCTATTGTATTCGGGATTTACATCATGTCCTCCGTGATATCCACCTGGATATTGCCCATTGTATCCGTGATGATCTCCGTGATATTCGTCATGTCCTCCATGATACCCGTTACGAAAATGAGACGGTTGGTAACCGAATCTGGGTCCATGACGATGGTAGTGTTCGTGTTCGTGAGATTCAGACGAGTGCGAGGAAACAAGGCTCACTGGAAAACGAAAATTTGAAGTTTTTCTGATTAATTTTATTTTGAACAGCCTAGAAAATTTAAGTTGCTTCTGGAAATGATGAGAAATATACTGTAAACACTCTAATAGAACGCCACCCAAACTTTCAATTTTGAGCCACTTTATCTCGATTCCTGTCTAAGATATGAAAAAAGTTGTGAACTGATAAATTGTTTATCATAGTATCATAAGTGTTTAGTCAGTTGACACAATGTCGATATCCTGAATAGGAACTGAGATAATTTAGATCAATCTTTTATTATATTTTTACGATAACTTAAAAAGCCTAGTAAATCTAAACTGGTTCTCAAAATGGAATTGAAAACAAACTCACAAATAAAAATTAAAATAACTAGTGATGAGAGATGGAAATGCATATTTCTTGATGCCGATTCAGGTATTCAATATCGTTTATATATGCCTAATGTCGTATCGTTTCGCCGAATGAGATTAGATAACAATAATCATAATCATGCGTATCGGAAAATTCATAAAATGTCCCAAGTGTAAAAATTTCTAGATCTGAATTCGTCGAGAATCACATCATTTAGCATTTGAAAAAATTTAAAATATTTATTTATAAAATCATCGGAACAAAAAAACATGTAAGGCAAGAAGTAGAACAGCTAGAAAACAAAAAAAGAAGAACTAGAAATCAGGATATGAAAACGAGAAAAAATGAAAGAAAAATAGAGATACAAATAGGGAAAGAGATCTTTTATACACATATGAACTCAATAAATTCTATCTATTCTCGATTAAAAGTAGAAGTTGTATTTTTGTATCTTCTGGATGCCGTATAAGTATAATATGCATCATCAGCTTCGTCTTGCTCACTCCGGAGACGTGGGAGTGATCCCATGTTATTACGGTATACGTGACCGATTCCTTCGTTCAGAATCTTATCAGGTGATGAGAGAATATTAATGACTTCTCGGTTCTGAGGCTGAAGTTGACGTCGTGGAGTATCTGGCTCGTTGATCGATGACAAATGATGATTATTTGGAATCACATCTGGCATCCAATCAGGATCAACTCCAGCATCGTGATGGTGGTTTTGAGGTGACAGTAATGGAGAAGCACACTGTGGATCTGCCATTGTGGATTCAGCCATCACTGATTTCTGAGTATCCAGCCACATATTAGGGTTAGAATCTGTCGATTTCGAGGTCATGTCACAGATGCACCATAGGAATATCACGATTGAAGCTATCAAGTAGATTACGGATTGGGAAATTTCCTGGAAAAAAAAATGAAAAATGAATAAGGAAAATAATGACGAAGCTCATACCACAATCTCCATTGGTAGGGGAAGTTGATTGGCGAATAATCCAGATAAAGTCATTACCAAAGTGAAAAGAGTCTGAAATTTGAAAATTAAAAAAAGGTTTTTATGAAAACTGTCTTACCAAAACGAAATGTTGGAAAACTGCTTTCTTCACATTATATTTTGCGACGAAGACATCGTATTTCTTATGAAGACTGACAAGAACTGATGTGGAGGCAGCATAGAATGATAGTAGAAGAAATAAACCAATAGGTAAAACAATGAACCAGAAGAGCCAAAGATGCGGAGAAAGAGAGCAGGTATCAGTGAAGAAGAAAGTGGTGAACGAGATGATACAAGGGAAAACGATTCCAACGAGCAGAGATGTAGCGACACTAAAATATAAGCTATTTTAAAATTTATTGTTAGATTATTTATTGTTAAATTTGTTTACCTTGGAGAAGAAGATCCATCAGCCAACATTCTGTAGATGTATAATCCATACAAGAAGAGCCAGGCGAATGGAGATGATGAAGTGAATGATAGCATTGCATTACGGACTGGGCAGAATGCTTGATTGATAGCTGTCTTATGAACGAAGAACAAATTCAAAACGTTGATGGCAAAGAAAAGAATGAATCCAATTCGAACTGAATGCGTTTTTAGACTTTTTCTTGAAATAGTCAGAAGAATGGAGAGGAAGCAGAGGAAGAGAGCAACACCCGCGATTGCTGGAGATGTCATGTCATCGATTTGAGCAACTCGTACCTATGAACTCAGAAATATACAAAATTTAAACTATTGGAAACTTACAATAGAGTTCGAATGATCATTCACAAACATGGTGAATACTCCAATTCGATCGTATTCACAAGCAGCATGAGTGAGATTTAAACCGATCAAGGATGCTCCACGATTAGTCCATGCTCCAGATTGATCATCAAATCGAACACATTCCGGATACTTCCATCCATCATCTTCATCGATTTCAAACTCCACAATAATTGGGTCAGTAGTATTGGCAACAACTGCGATCATTGGATTCTCACATCGATCGCATCTTGGATACGGTACGATGGAGTAGACTACTTGAGTGGTTCCTGTGACAATTGCACGAACTCTAGGGAATCCAGTTGGACGAAGATCCACGAAGTTGTTAAACTTCGGAAGCATATTTCCAAAGTCAAGTTTGTCAGAAGCGAAAACTGGAAAAAAAAATATTTTTTGAAGTTTTATTGTAAAAGCCAAACTTACCAATGTGATCATTGGTAACAAAGAATGGAGACAAAAAAGAAACACTTTCGTGTGTTTCGGCTACAGTTTCAGCATAACTCCACAGTTTTGCGATCATTGTCGAATACTCATCAGCTGGTTGTTCACTCATAACTCTTCCCAATGCTTCAATTAATCTTTCCGTGAATGTCATATCCTTGATATGTGCTCTTCCTTTTAGCGGAATCATTTGTTCATGATCAACTAATCTACTCAATGCTTCTGCGGCGATTTGTTGATTCCTTCCACGGATCGATGATTCTGTATTTGTTGCATTTGATACCATTGTCAAAAGTTTTGCAGGCTCCAAAATATCGAATTTGTTGACCATAATCGAGTATTCTGGGCGAGTACAATTCCATGCGTTCACATCTGACCATCTTCCTGTTTCCAGACATTTCCTTGTAGCCAGGCCACTTTCTCCAATTGGACAAGACTGTCTCACAATTGATCCTTTTTGACTTATTGGCCATTGAATGCTATATTCTATTTCTGATGGACATTTTCCGGCTACTGGTCTACATTTCAACGTTTTTGAGTCGAGTTGCTGGAAAATAAAATTTTTATGATCTACATATTTTTCTGAATAGGTGAACTTACATGATCATATCTTGAACATCTATCACAACGTCTTCCAACAGAATCTCCATTACATTTGCAATACCCATCAGAAGAGCATTCTGTACTCTCTGATCCGGATCCACATTCACATTTTACACATCCATTGATTGTCGAGAAATGACTCTTTTTGCACAAACAAGCTCCAGTCTTCTTGTCGCATTGTGATTCATAACCTTTCGATTGTGAGCATGCACATCTTCGACATCGAGGGAAAGTACCCCACCATCCGGATGGACAAATCTGTTTGGGAGCTTCCAGCTGACAATTCTTTCCGGTTCTTCCTGGCGGGCAAATGCATTCGTATCCGGTTGTTGTATTTGAGGCAACACAAGTTCCAGACGAACACACATTAGCTACAGAACATACTGGAAGACACGTATCTCCTACAAAGCTCTTCTGACACTTGCATTTGTGTTTATTCCATGCTCTGTGACAAGTACTGTCTGATGGACAGATTGAATCGACGGAACATCGGTTTGGTACAACGCATCCAGCTCTAGTCTTTCCCTTCTTCTTAACAGAAACTGGTCTTCCATCAACCATCACATTTCGAATACATCCTTCAAATCGAGATGGATGTCCTGTTCCTGGGGCGATTCCATAATACAGACTTTCCAAATTCATATCTGCGATTGAAGTTTTAGCCTCTGCCGAATAAATTCCATTAATACTTGTTGCCACTGAATCAGCTTCGAATTTCACGACAACATTCATCCAATGTTTTGAAGTGATTTCAGGAGATGGAAGTTCGACTGAAGAGTCTCCAATATTGTATTTCAGTGTTCCATCGTCAATTTCAAGATTGTAGTGAACGCTTCTTTGAGTGAATTCCAGTGCGAAAACTTGCATATCAGCTCGGGAAGATCGGAATTCAAATGAGACTTCAAATGGAACGGATACTTGAGCAGGTTGATATAGAACAAAAGATTCCTCCTCGAATAGAGAATGACCACGAAGATCTTGATTTCCAACAGGAACAATACATTCTCCAAGTGAATGAACCGCCTGAGGACAACTGCAAATACGTCCACCCCAACGGTTCGAACATTTTGTTGTAGCTGAACATTGTCCATCCGAAGATGAGCAGAAGTCTCGACGTTGGCGACATCCTTCATGAACATGACCCACTTTGTGCATTTCTTTTATAGTTGAGAAATCCACGTCTTCTTTGTCAACAGATAAATCAGATATACATCCGGAGAAGGCCTTCTCAATCTGCTTGGAAGTTCCCGGTCTTCCTCCAAGGAATAAACCGTTTGATACATCCATATAACGATAACATGGGACAGTTGGATCTTCACATCTGAAAATAATGATAATCAAATTTGAGAAGTTTGAGAAGAGAAATTCATCATTTCCCGGGGAGCATATAATTCCGCTAATCAAATGAATAATTCAATCGGTTCGCGACCATAGACTAATATTTCTGTTCATTTTGAAAATTGAATTATATGTTGAATTACAAGGAGGGACCTCATGCAATTATGAATTACTACTGGGAAGATCCCACACAAGAAAACGTACTTTTTCTCTAGATTCAGTTTTGCACGAACAGCACAATTTGGAGATGAATTCAGAAGAAGTGATGGATGAGTTTCACAATCATCAAGTGACATCGTTATTTGCTGCAAAATTATAGGAACCAATGAATGAAAAATTAACTTTCCCTACCTTATTAGAGAACTCAACAGTTACAGTATGCCATTCACCATCATTCACCCGATTCTCCACATCATTCTCCATTTTTGCATCAGCTTTTTCCCCGCCCAATGAGAATTGAACCTATAATTTTGATTTATGGAAAACCCCTTCTTCATTTTCAAAAAATACCTTTAGAACTCGATCTACAATGGAAACTTCGACAAAGTCGCTTCTTTTGTCTCCCGTGAATACCAAAACACCGTCGTGTGCAATTGTTGATATTCTGAAGAAAGACGTGTTTTTTGCATCTTCTTTTTTTGGGGCTTCTTTTTTGAGCTCTGAATTTTTTACCTGAACTTCATGGTCCATTGAGTACGTGGCAAGTCTAGGTTTACATTGAGGATGCCTTCTCCTTCGAAAGATACACTTCTCAACCGACATCTTTCATCTGTATCCTCTCCTTGGTATTTACAGTGACGACATCTCATTCGATTGCCTTCCAATTCACAGAGAGAATCTGACATACAGTATCCAGGAACACATGTTAGAGCATGCACTGATATTTCACAGTGACGACCTGAAAAGAAATTGCTTTAGTGTTCAGATGGTCCCTCCGAAAGTGTTTCAGTTTTATTGCGACTCCTTTTCAAATGAAAGTTTGACATGGAAATAACGGAAAAGGGGGGTCACACAGAGTTAGATGGGGTACTTCCGGTGCAGTTGAAACAAACGACAGAAGCACCGGGAGAAGTCTGAAGTGACACGCAAATTGCTTTCACAAAAGACCCCAGAAAAGTGGAAGTAGAAGGGGAAACAATTTTAGAAAAATAACTTTCGAATCACGCTATATGTATATTGAAGCTCTCGACTGTACGTTTTTTGATCAGAATATCCTAGCGAGAATTGTGGAGAAGAACTGACTTGGTTACTGTATGTTGTCGTTGCTCAGGTTCTTGCACGGTATAGTCTTACTAGGGAGCTATCCGGAGTCGTCTCCGAGCTACACTCCATGACCTAGATCATTAGAAAGACCACGCAGCCAAACATTGGGAGAATGATCTTTTTCATTTTCAAACGTTTGGAACATTTTTCAGCACTTTTCAAAACATTTTCAAAAAGTCACTTCTGATGTGTGGGGTCCCCAGATCGATTTTTTCAAGAAAAAACCTTTTTAGTTAGCCACCGTGCTTTATCTAATAGAAGCTCAGCCGAACCGTCAATTTTGTGTTTAATTCTCTCGATTCCTGCGAAAGATAAAAAAATTTCGTCAATTGATAAAATATTAAAGATATTGTGACTAATATTTTATCGGTTGACAAAATTTGGATATCTTCCACAGGATTCGAGATAATAATTGAGCTCATCGTTGATGTTTTGGGTGGGCTTTTATTAGAGAAAATACGGTAACTTGGAAAAAAGAATACAGTGGCTGAAACTTATAAAATTACAAAATCCCTTCTCTTCCCTAGATTTTCTTTTTTTTGGATCAGCAGTAAACATCCACTCCCCATTTTCTATCCACTTTCGTTTACTCCATTTCGTTTTTCGACTCAATAGCCCTCATTTTGTGAGCCAATTTGCTAATGCAAATTTCAACCTCATAAGTACCATTTTATTGTGCAAAAGGGGTCTCCGAACCACTCTTCCTCCTAACACAAGCACATTCCCATTTTACGAGTGTGTTCTCCCTTATTTTCTGTGCTTTCCTTTAGTCAATTAGTGGAATTACGTACCTATCCAACCAGGCTTACACTCGCAGCGATATGTGTTCTCGTAGGCGACACAAGTCGAATTATTGGAGCACCTGCCACGGTAACATTCATCAAGACGTGTGTCGCATTCTCCACGACCATCCGAACCTGCAAAATTAAACTTCTACAGAGTCGCGAATTTCCAGTCTTACTTGTGAATCCAGAAGGACATTCGCAGACGAAAGTGTTGACGGTGTTTAGGGTTCGAGCAATGAAGTTGTCAGTCTCATGAGCCTATAAAAATCAGAGTTGAAGGGTTTCTTGAAAAATGCATACCTTCATTTCTCCCACAAACTTCTGAGTTTGTCGACACTTTGCCATATGGGAACATGGCTCATTCGCACAAGATTCATCTCGGATCACTTCAACTTGCAACAATGTCATCTTCTCCAACTTCTTGATCGATTCTTTCACCAACTCGATTGCCCTCCAACCTCTGAAAATAAAATAGTTCCAGACCCCTTTTGTATACGTTCCCCAATTTTGAATCTATACAATTTTTCTTCCCATTAGCAACACTTTGTCGCTCCATTATTCATATTGAATTACACTACTTCTCCATGTAAATATGTCGTTTCAAGGAGTTAGAAGCACGCAAAGAAACTAGGGGGAGCCCGTTTCATTGTTTGTCAAAACAAATCGAATTATTGTGAAGCGCATCTAATTGCACACATCCCGAATCTCCAAAATCCCGAACTCATTTCCCGTAACACAACACTTGACTACCAGTATACGAAAAGCCTCTTGAGACACGAAACGGCGGCATTTCTTTTTATGATTCGAGTGTTATTGTGTAGTTTTCAATCATCTCTTACCGTACAACCCTTCCGTGGTCCGTAATTGCCAAATTAATATAGATGACGTCATCAAGGTGCTGCTTGACACCAATGACATGGATGTCAGATGGTTTCCAATTACTCAACGTAGACATCGCATCTCTGGAAGCAAATCAGATTAATTGAAGATTCGGAAACTAACAATTACCAACCTGAATCTCTGGAACACCAATGGATCCCAGAAATCATCGACAGTCATCCTGGCAAGACTCAACGTAAAACTTTCAGCCAACCAGTCTGGTTCCACGAGAACATGGATAAATCTACATGTAGCACATTCAGTATTGGCACCGTCAGAAACACATGTTTTGAATGAAACATCCATGTTTCGTTTCCATTCTTGTTTTACTAGAATTTTTCCAGTGTACTTTTCAGCTTCTATCAAATCGTTTTCCTCCAAAAAATATTCGAGAGTTGCATTTTGATCTGGGTCAAACGATGGGATGAATCCGATTTGTTTAGCCATTTGAACATTATCAAATCGGTTCATGAGGATCACAAAATCCTTCAGAACTGGTTTATTGTCGTTCACATCTGATACGTGGATCCGAACGGGAACTGTTGACGAAAGTTGTCCACTGCTGGCTTGGAGTTCAAAAAAGAACTTGTTGGATTTGGCTTCGTAGTCAAATTCAGCACGAGTGAGAATTCGCACAACTCCATTTTGTTCAGCGTCTTCTGAAAATAGAGAATGGGATTCTTGAATTAAAAACTAGGTATTTACCTTCAATATCAAAGAGTTTTGCATCTGTTCCTCCGAAAATTCGGAAAGAAATGTCAGAATTCTCTCCCTCATCAGCATCTCTTGCCACAATTGTTCCTACTGTAGACCCAGCTGGAGCATTTTCAGCAATATATAGATCATAGGAAAGTTGTTCAAACGAAGGGGCATTGTCATTCACATCAGAAAGTGTCAATGTGATTTCAGAAGAAGCCGAGAGTGACGGTGTTCCACGATCCCTTGCAAATATAGGGAGTAAAATTCTGAAATTGAAGACCCAATTAATGTTTCCACTATGTATATTTATAACAACATCCTTCAATCTTTTCTCTGAAGTTATAATGCACCCCCTCCCTTCTTCGCAATCTGTTGGCACTTGACAAAAAACATGGTCCTCTCTTTCCCCCTCAACCACCCTATAGAAAACAGTGACACCCGGTCAAATGAGGGCTCATTGAGCAATCCGGGCAGGTGTTAGCCCTCTCTTAGGACACATTCTAATTATCCCAGATTCGCATTCTTCTGAGAAGAATGTTCTACATCTTCTTTTATAAATAAAATGTAACACGCTTACACTGCAAACTGTTCTCGATCAAGTTTTGAGCTGACACGAAGAGTTCCTGAAGTTCTGTCAAGTCGAAAAAGATGAATAGCTGGAGATGAGGAAGATTCGTTTAGGAAGTAGTCGACGATTCCATTTGAACCAATGTCAGCGTCTATCGCTGATACCTAAAAAAGAAAATTTAGAATCCATGGAATTCATTGAACTTCAAAAGTACCTGAAGGAAGGAAGTTCCAACTGGAATATCTTCTGAAATGGTGGCAGCGTAGCTTGAAGACGTGAATTGTGGAGCATTGTCGTTTACTGAAAACATAAACCATCAATTTGGCTTTTCCTCAGACTTCCTAATCCCCCGATTTGATTCGAATATTATTTCTTTGTTTTACATGTTTCCCTTCACTTCCTGCTCCTTCTGTCTTCTCACACAACACCGCCCGACCCCTAATTTCCGTAAATAATCGTGTTTTGTCTGACACTCTCTAAATCTCTTCAGCTCTACCACTAAGCTTAGTACCCTTTCGTCGTTTTCTAACACATCTGGTCATTTGTCAGGCGTCGTTGTTCGGTTTGAAAGGGGGACGACAAAATGCGCCTAGTAGGCGAGTCATAAGAAGAAACACCATATTTGAATATGTCAAAATGAGATCCGCCGTCAGAGATATTAACAAAATGCCAACTCACTGTCATCCAGAATCACTTCGATTTGTGTTGATGTGTTAAGCGGTGGAGTGGCGTGGTCTGAAGCTGTCACGATGACGGAAAACGTGGCACGATCTTCGCGGTCAAGATCAGAAGCAACGGAAATATCACCAGATGAAGGATCTATTTTGAAGAACTGATTAGAATCAATTGAATAAACCAAACGAGCGTTATCTCCACGATCATGGTCTTCAGCCTGGAAAAAGTTTAGAAATTAAAATCGAAAACCATTAGCAAAATCACAAACCTTCATGCTGATAACAGGATATCCAATCGGAGAATGTTCTGGAATTTTCACCGAAAATGGATGGTCATTAAAATACGGAGCCGAGTTAACATCATCAATAAAGACATTGACAACACATCTTCCTTGTAGACCTCCTTGATCAGTTGCTGATACTTCCACTCTTATTTTGTGATCTTGTTTGTTCAACTGCCCCGATACACTTAAAATTGCTCCCTGATCTCCTATATCCAGAATACTGAACACATCTCTGTCAGCCTCCTCGATACGGTAAGTGATCTTCTGATCCTCGTCGTTATCCACTGCTTTCCATTTGATGATCTGACTTCCACGTGGCATCTCTTCAGAAATCGTCACATTATATTCTTTTTTGTCGAATATCGGAGCGTTGTCATTGATGTCTTTCAAAACCACTGTCATTGTAGTAGAGGTATTCAAAGGAGGAGTTCCCATATCTCTAGCAGTTACCTGAAAGTATGAACTTGTTAATTTGTTTTTCGAGATTTCTAGTTCACCTTCAGACTGTATCTAGCAGTCGTTTCTCGATCAAGAAGTTTAGTCGTTTTGATAACACCGCTATCCTCATCGATGATGAAATCTTCTGATCCTTCAATAGAATATCTGGAAAACAAATTTTACGGTTTTTCTTCAAACACAATATCATACCTAATGATTCCGTTTGGTCCAGAATCTTCATCAATGGCATAAACTCTTCCAACTTCTTCTCCAATTGCTACATTCTCTTCAAGTGTAATCATCTTCTGCGCAGCAATCAGAGTAGGAGCATGATCATTGATATCAACCACATGGATTGTGAGTGAAACAGTGCTTGAAAGTGCAGGTTGTGCACCATCTTTTGCTCGAATTATTGCTGTTATTGGGGAGTTTTTGGCATCGATTCTTTCTCGAAGAGTCACTTCTCCAGATGAATAATCAATGGTAAGTCCACCGATTCCAGAAGATGAAGCCATAGAATAATGAACTTTTCCATTGGTTCCAAAGTCTTCATCTGTAGCTTTCACTGTTGCTATAACGGTAGGGAGGGTGATGTTCTCCAAGATGGTGATGTGTAAGAATCAGATGCAAATACTGGCGCATTATCATTGACATCAAGTACAGTAATCTCCACGAGAGCTTTTGATTCTTTCTTTGGAATCCCTTTATCACTTGCTATCACATCCAATCGAATCAAAGAGAGAGTTTCTCGATCCAAAGGAGCCGCTGTTTGAATAACTCCACTTTTGGAATTGATGGCCAACAGATTCTTTCCATTTCCTTCACCCAGAGAATACTCGACTTCTCCATTTTCTTCAGAATCCAAGTCTCTTGCAAATACGGAGAGAACAGTAGTACCAATCTGAAAGAAGAAGGACAATAATAATTCATTAATTTTCTTTAAAGAAATTATGCAATTGACAGATTTATCCCCTTTTCTCTATTTTCAAGTGGTATTGAGTTGGTTATATCAATATCACAGATTTGTGTCCTTTTACTTGTTCATCATGTACTACACACGCATTCTCTCTTCTGCTTCTTCTTCTTTTCCCCCGTCCTTTAATTATATATTCGAAGACTCGGTCCTCCGAGCAACTAGGACTCCCGCTACTATGAGAATGGTGGCGGCGGTCGCTTTACGATTCGAAGGAAGACACGACTCATCTCATTATTGGGTGTGAGAAGGCGATATGTTGTAGGAAATGGCTATGATGAAATTTTCGGGTTTAGCTCTGGAAATGAGAGAGGTTTTTGGGGTTTTTGACGCTTTTGTTGATAGAAAGTGTTTGACTTTACGAATTCTGGAGAGAAAAACAAGAGCTGATGATTTTAATACTTTTTGAAGTTTCATAGTTAAAGCCACAGATCCAACTAAAGAAAAGCACCTACCGTAAAACCTGTAATACAAGGGCTCCCATACTGTCAAATTAGTGCTCAATTATCTCGATTCCTACTCAAGATATAAAAAATATGTAAACTGACAAATCATTTCTGATATTATGATAAGAAATTTATCAGTTGACAACTTTTTCATACCTTAAACAGGAACAGACAAAAATTGACTCAAAAGTTAGAGGGCCTTCTATTACAGGTTTACGGTAGTTGTTCACTTCCGCCAGTCAATTCTTCTTCATCTAATCTCCTATAAATGTAGAAACGTTCCACCTTAAAGTCAACTCTTCCATTCATTTACCCTGCTTTTGCAATTCGACTGACTCATCCGTCTCCGGACTCCCGTGAACTTCTAAATCTCTCGATTCTTTACACTCTCCCTTTCCCTCCCGTACCCATGCATACACGGTGTTGGTGTCCTTCTTCCTGACGGACGACAAACATCCATTTTCGGACTCTTATAATTTGCCTGCTCTTGTGGGGGTTGCTCTCTCTCTATGGGTGAAGCCGTCGTCTGATGACAGATGGTCATTCGGATGCGATAGTGTTATAAGTCGAGAGATTTAGACACTCTCTCGGCTGGAACAATGTTGCGTGCTTTTGGAAATGGGGTGTGTAAAATTGAAATGATGGTCGTCGGAGGTACATTTGATTTATGGGTCCACTTCTCTTTTTTTGAGTGTCAGCCTTCTCTGGACTGGTCACTCACTTTGGAGTACTACGAGTACACGTCTCGAGGGAAATTAGAGGGGAGCGGAGCCCAACGGTGAAATAAAGAAAATGGAATGGAAATTTATACCAAAAACTGAGTAATTCGGACTGGCACTTGACAGAGAAAACCAAGAAATTAGTATATGGAAAACGTCAAGAGTCAGGAAAACTACATCAGTTTCTGAATTCAAAATTCAAAATTGCATAGGACCGAAAAGCGAAAAAAGGGATGTGCAAAAAAAAAAATCATACTTCATCTAGATGTGCTGAAGCTACATTTCAAATCTTTGATTCCCGAATACCAGATCCCTTCTATGTTTTTCACCTACTTCTATTGAATTCTAAAGCTTCTTATTTATATTTTTGACTTCTTAGATTCTTTTCATTTCGTTCCATTTTCTCTTTATTCACACTTTCTCCCCTTCTTCGTAGCTAATCCAATATACAGTACCACTGTATTATTGTATCCATATTCTCTTCTTTTTTCCACACACTGACAGGTGAATCCTCTCGCGCATATTATCTGCGTCTCTCACAATCACATGCACCCTACTACTCTTATGTGGAAGCACTCGCTAATTACAAGCTGTTGTTTCGACCGGGGAAGCTACGGGCAGCGACCCGAAGAGCTCCGTTCGAATTAGGAAAATAGAGATAGAGGAAATAGTAGGAGAACTTGAGATACGCAGAGTGTGAATGAATGAATGAAAATGGAAATGGGTGTAAAAGAGGAATTGAATAGACTCACCGGAGCATCTTCGCGGATTTCTCCAAAATAAGAATCCTTTTCGAAAATGGGACTATTGTCTTGGACATCTAGGACGTGAACGACGACCGTAGTACTCGCAGATATCGTTGGATCGACTCTCTCGTAGGCTGTCACCTGAAATTAGAATATTCAGAATATTTAGAAAAAGATGATTTCGATACCTTGAGAATATGCTTATCCAGTACTTCTCGATCCATACTTTTTGCCAGTCGAATCTCTCCACTCATCTGCAAAAATTGTATTATTTTTCAGAAGGAGCACCGAGAGCCGCGTCCCACTTCCTCTGAGAAAAAGAACTAAACTACTAGAAAGCATTCATAGATAATTGTGTTTGTGTTCAAGTTCCTTAGGCACTTTTTTCTGGGATAGAGTGAGAGTTCCATGAGTTTGTTAGTATAAAAGTATAGTTGATTTTTAGAAAAACTTCCGGAAGTGTAGTAGTTGAAAAAAAACTTACCGTATCCAGAGTGAACAAGTTTTGAGATCTTGAATCTTGAGGAGCAACCATGGAGTAGTAGAGAGGTTGGGAAGATGCATGAGACGCTTTTACAGATGCAATTACGGTTTCTATTGGTGTATCTTCTGGCAGCTCTTTTACGTATCTGAACATTTTGGAAGTTAATTTCAGATTTCATTTCCAAGTTTCACAATTTTTCAAAGAAACACTCACTTTTCTTGCTGAAAATGCACTGCGTTTGCGTCTGGGTTCCTTCTTCGAGCCCATCTTTTTGTTCTTCGGATTTCGAGTTTCTTCATTGAAGCAACAGAATGCCCAATCCTCATTTTTGACTGATAAATTTGTCCATCACAAACATAATTATAGTGAAAGTCAATTGGTCCATCAAAGAAACAAACTCTCTCTTTGGTCAAAAGTAGACCATCATCAAGAAGTGAGAGTTGAGAGGATTGGATAGAGTCCGGAAATCCAGGAATAGGACAAGAAGTAATATCAGAAGAAGAGGAATCAGGCCAATGAATTATAGGTTGACCTGGATGCAAACATGGTGGTCGAGAAGCTGGTAGCCAGATAACAAAACTACTTGATGGAACTGCACATGGTTTACAAACTACAGAAATAGGTTCAGATGAATAATACTTGTCTTCTGTCAAAGCACTGACTAGTAGTAATGATGAGGTGATAAAAAACGGAAGAAACATAATTTTGTTAAGCATCATCGTCTCTTCATTGCATTGAAGCCAGTTGAATGTGAGTTGGATATGGAAGAAGGGAAAAAGAAGAGAAAGGGCTGCGGTGTCCGAATAAGAAGGCGGAGCCAACTGGGTGGCACCCCCTCTGCGTCTCGTTCAAAAGGAAGAACTGACCAGCGGCCAATTAAGGTGAGGAGGTTGTGTATCAGCTAATTTGAATGTCTCTTTTCTATGTCACACATAATGTTCGCGCATTGATAGTGAGCCGGAAGCGATAGAAATGGGGGAAAGGGGAGATGCCAGCGTGAGAGCCTTTGGAAAAAATAATCAGGTATTATGAAGGGGAAGGAGTGGGATTAGATATTGGTTCCGAGGTCCAATGTTACCCAGAACAAAACTAATCTAGATTGATTGGGTTCTTGTTGTCCAAAATAACCACTGTGGCTGTTGTCAGGCGTCGCCTGCAACAGCAACGTCTCCGGAATCTCAGGCATCGCCGACAAGTTCTGGTCGGAGTTTAGTCAGATTCCAGATAGCGCCGCTAGCTAACCAAACTCCGACAAACTATTACAACTTTCACCTTCTGACCAATATCTGACAATGGTCCGCTATGCACCCGTTTTTGAACAATTTTTGACCAGAACCTGGCAAATATCCGTCCAAAAGCCGAATCCCTCAATTTCTAACGAGTACTCCTCCTTGTCGAAGGCATCAACAAATAATTTTTTAAGCTTCCGAACGTTTATTAGACCCTCACAATCAGATTTATGTTAAATTGCCTTTCCGATCACTTAATTACCTTCATATGACCCTCAAACCCATCATATGAACTTAATTGCTTCTGAAGACTTATTTGAAGACAGTCTCTTATTTTCTAATAGTCTCTTTCTCATAATCCTCTGGAGCCAGTCATGGAGCCATGTGTCCACCGATTGGGGACATAAACCGATTTTCTGGCGTCCTTCCTGCCACCATATTGTTTCTCTCGGTCAATTAAGCAAAGCCGAAAAGGGCGTATTATGTGGCCTCTCTCGCCAGAACGGCGTCAGGCAGGTGTTCTCCGACTACGTTGCATATCTAATTGCTCCTATGTGAACACAAACAGACACATCTTTCCGTCTCAAAAAAAGGAGTTTTTTTTCCTATTGTTCACTTTTTCTTTCTTTTTTCTTGGCTCCTCATTAGCTTTCTCCATGCCCGTCGTCCGACAGCTCGTTTCGTCTCAACATTTGCATATTTTTCAGTGTCAGACACAAGAACCACAACTCATTTTTCTACGAAGAGTGCGTGTTGCTCTTGGTTTGACTCCCCGGAGAAAGAGCATCATCGAGTGCTGTATGTGTTGTAGTCTGAATTTTCGACGGAAATTGGAAGAAGGATCGGGTAGCGCCAAAAACTGAAAATGGGGCAGAGATAGGGAGAATGGGAGGAGGAGAAAGGACGAGTTGAAAAATGAAACACCACGATAGACACGAAAACACATGTGAAAACTTGACCTAGGAAAAAGTATAGAGTCCAAGATTCTGTTCGGGATATTTCAAAAGTTCGTATTTGTCAATGGATGGCCCCGGAAACAGCTCAACAGTTCTGAAATGTTATATGTACCGTCTTCCTCTAATGGAAGCCCATCAAAATCGTTCTCGATTCCTGTGTAAAAAAATTGTCAACTTATAAACTGTTGGTGATATTAGGATAAATAATTTATCAGTTGATGTCATGTTTCGATATCTTTCACAGAAATTGAGATAATTGTTTTCAAAGTTGAAGGTTCGGGTGCGCTTCTATTAAAAGAACTACGGTATATCATCTGTCACCAACAATTTAATGAATCTACTTTGCAGTAGAAAACGGAGTTCCATTTCATGACCATTTTATTTGTTTCCTTCGGAAGTTGACTCTAATACCGATATCGCGATTCAGTTAAAATATTTCACAACCCGTACTTGAATTGAAATTCCGGGCATTTCTTTTAATTAATTTTTAATTTCTTATATTTCGTAACATTCTCAGGTGCTCTCTCGTTCTCCGATTCCATTCGATCTATGTCACATAACCATTTGCGGTGAACATAGTGAAACTCATCGATCAAATGACTCTTGCTCTCTTCCTATGACTCCACCGATTAATCAGACGAACATCTTCGCAGAGCAGAGACTTTATAAAATGATGAACTATTTTGACATGCGTGTGTGTGAGTGACCCGTTTTATGAAAGTACCCTTCTCACAAACAATTGGCCTGGTGGATAGAGAGGAGCTTGTGGCCGTCAAATGGAATGTGACGATGCGTAATTAAAACTGAAATGGATGGTGGAAAAAGAAGGGGTAAAAGGGATGCATTTGGTGGAAGGAAGGAAGGATACACACAATTGATGGCATCCGTTTTGGTGTGATGAAACCAGAATTAGAGAGGTGGCTTTATCCGAACATTTTAACTGAATAAGAAATGGAGAACATTAATTTTTATTTCACTCGGTATTCGAAATACTGGAACTTATTAGAGGTAGCAAGACATAAGTAAACACAGTAGCCATACAAAACATATAGTAACGGTCAATAAGATACACAAAAACGTTTTTTTCAGTTGATTTTCGGCCATTTTGACCATTTTCAAAAGTCTGAAGCTCGGTTATGAAATTTCCGATCAGTTTGAAAATTTCGTAGGTTATAAAACAAACCTAGATTGAAAACTTTGCATTCACATAATTTTTTGAAAATTTCTAGTTTTCCAGATATTTTCTGATTTCTGAAAACACCTCATTTTGACCCGTTTTTGTCCTGAAACCGTGAAAAAAACACGCGTCTTTCAGAACTCGGCAAATATCTGAAAAACTCTGTTTGAATTTTCAAAAATTCTGAAAAAAAGTTTTGTATATCTTATGAACCGGTACGGTATACGGGTAAAAAGAACCTATTCATGAACAGGGTGATTCACGATTTCAGTATTACTATCTTCTGAAAAAGTGGTGGATCCGTTTAGTTCCGAAACAGGTCCAAGTTGAGAAAGTGGAATCGCAGCAGGGTCTTGCACATTTTGTGTTGGAGTCTTGTTTGAGAAAAAATAATAATAAATTCGTTTGATTGTTTCCCAACACTTCTGATTGAAAATTAGCACAATTACGATCTCCACAATGAATAGAACGATATATTCCGGTAGTCTTCCATTTTCCAATTTCGATATCATCTCAACCACTTCTGATTTATTCAGCGGAGCGACACATCGCGATGCTATTGTTTCGTTAAATTTACGAATAGCAACATCAAATTCTTCCGTTTTCCCGTCGATTTCAGAAATACTGAACACAAGTTGTTTCAGGCATAAGAGGATACTGTTATGCTTCCGACAATCTTCAAAGATCAAAGCGCTGGAATCGATGATAACTGCAAAATCATATTGATGCGGAGTAAGAAAAAACATGGTGCTACCTCGATTAGACCATCCATTTTTGTAGATTTCTTGGTAAAAACTGTCACCAATTTCGATGTCTAGTCGTTCATCGGAACTGAGTTTG